AGAAGAACACCCTTTGCTGCCATCCTTTGAAGTTGGCTCCGGAAAATTTTCCCGGTTTCTCTGTCGGTGGAACATCAGTCCGGCTTGACGAGGCTATCGCCGTTGCTGCAATAGTCACAGAAGAATTTCCGTTATCAATTGCCATTTCTCACTGTAAACAACATAAGAGTTCAATTAATGGCAAAATCAGAACAGTAAACAATACTGTTATTAACAAAAAAAGTATGTATAATAAATAAAACCGAAGTTTTTATATACTGTTTCACAGAAAAACGATGAAGTTTTTATGTTCTTCAAATCGTTTTATGAATTTCAATACTCTGATGAAGTTTTTTTTTATATCTTCAAATTAAAATAGTAAATTTCAGAAGGAGTAGAAAACCACACAGGTTTTAATCTCCACAAACAAAATACAGAATATAATAAATTAATTTCCTTAAGAATGTTATAATTCTGTATTGCTGTAATAAACAATTAAACTTTCTGGAAAAATAATACAGAAAGTTAGTAATACTTGTTTAACGAAATAAATTCTGGAAAAAATAGTATAGGAATAAATCGAGCCCACTGAATATACAGTGTGTCCTTAAGAAAATTATTCTCCTCAAGTACCTGAGGTGCTGGAACTCTATTTATAGAGTTGCTGGCATTGTTTCTGAAAAGGTGTGCAACCTTTCAGAAACAACCATGGCTGTTAGAACAGGGTTCAAAAGCCCGGGTCGCGGGTCATTCCAGATTGAATTTTTCGTTAATTATTTAATAAATTAATTAAATAATTGAAAGGAATTTTGTCCAAAAAGATTAATCAATCAATCTTTGACCAAATCCGATCCGATCCGAGCGACGACGACGACGGCGCGAGACTTGCCTTCTTCTTAACTCTTTAAGAGCTAGAAGAAGAGCAACTATATATATACCCATCAAAAGCCTTTTCTTCCTCCGATATGGAACAATATCCCTTTGCCAAGGAAAATTCAAATATTTTATTTTCACTCCATTTCTCATTCACCCTCTTTAAAGCTACATAAGCTTAAAACCCCGACGAATATACTTCCACGCACTCTGAACGAAATCCCTTACTTTATCCTATTTAAACCCCGTATGTAACACTACTCGTGTCGTGTGTCTACTAGAGGCTCACTCGTACACAATCTTTCCACTGCCAACTTTCTGGCCTATAGCGGGAATTCCGCCAATCTTATGATTGATCGTGGCTGCTGACGATAAAGTTGATAATATATAATGCAGTTTACGGTCCAACACTGAGGCTGTACTTATTCCCCAACTGTTGATCACTTATTCTTTTGTGGGTTGAAAGAGAATTAATTAAAGAAGCTAGCAACGGAACCAAAAGAAGCAGGGGAAAGGACATAGTACATTCTAGTTTTTGCTTTATCAAGAATTATATAATAGGCCAATATGGTGGATCTTGGTTCAGAGGAGACTGCACAACCTTCAACTACTGTTAACATGTTCACTAAGAAAAAAGAGCTTCTTTCCAATGTTATGAAAAGGACCTCCGAATGGTACGTAGTCTATCTTCAGTTATTTTTCTTTCTCTTTTGTTGTTTCTCAGCGCCCTTTTCCACGTCTTTATGCAATGAGTGACCTTTTTAATATCTGCAGGATTTTATCCCAGGAGATCCCAAGTGATATAACTGTTCATGTTGCAGGAACTTCCTTTGCTCTGCACAAAGTACAACCTTTTTCCTTGTTCTAAGAAGTTCCTAATATAATTTCAACTAGAACACCAATCAAGATTGTTCTTTAACTAGTTACACTTATTATGGCAGTTACCTATAGTCATCTTAAATTAATTTGACACTGTCAGTGAGTACAAGTTAAACTCTTAACTAAAAGGTGCAATCTTTACTTTATGTTCCATGCAGTTCCCACTAGTCTCAAAGTGCGGATATATAAGGAAGTTGGTCGCAAAATCCAATGATGCTAATCTTTCTGAAATTGAAATCCCTGACATTCCTGGTGGATCAGAGGCATTTGAATTTGCAGCAAAATTTTGTTATGAAATAAACTTTGAGATAAGCTCAGGAAACATCGCAATGCTTAGATGTGTAGCAGAATATCTTGATATGACAGATGACTATGCAGTTGGAAATTTGGTAATATTATCAGAAGCCTACTTAAATGAAGTAGCACTTAAGAGCATTGCAGGTGCAGTTTCCGTTCTGCACTCTTCAGAAAAACTTCTTCCCATTGCAGAAAATATAAAATTGGTGAACAGAAGCATAGATACAATTGCATACATAGTTTGCAAGGATAGCCATTTTTGTAAGTCAGGTAGAATAGAGGTCGACGCTAATAGCTTGATGAATTCCTCTACATTATCAAATCCTAGGCCTATTGTTGTTGACTGGTGGGCTGAGGATTTAACTGTCCTTAGAATTGATTTTTTCCAAAGGGTTCTAATTGCTATGATGGCTAGGGGATACAAACAGTATGCTCTTGGACCAGTATTGATGCTCTATTCACAGAAATCTCTTCAAAATTTGGTGAGTCCTCATCCCATGAGTTTGGATTATTTGGTTAGAGAAAATAACAAAAAATAGTGATCTTTTATGTTAATCAAAATTGAACACTTATGTTATGGTGGCTGTTATATTTAACACACAAAATGTGCGCAGTTTTTATGAACATGAAGGACTAAAACTGCTCAGCTGTATAGTTAAAGGATTATTTTAGACAAACGCTCAAACATAAGAAACTATTTTGGTCATGTGCTCTATTTGTCCAAATGAAATATTTATGCATATGATTTTCTTGTCATTCCAGGAAATATCAGGAAAGGAAAGGAAATTGATTGAGCAAAGACGAGTACATGAAAAGAGGGTTGTTGTTGAAACCATTGTTAGTCTTTTGCCAAGGGAGAAAAATGCATTGGCAGTTAGTTTTCTCTCAATGCTTCTTCGCTCTGCAATATATCTAGAAACCACAGTTGCTTGCAGAGTAGATTTGGAGAGGAGAATGGCGTTGCAACTTGGAGAGGCTGTATTAGATGATTTGTTAATTCCTTCATATTCTTCCTTCACAAAAGACACATTATTTGATGTTGAAATCGTGCAACGTATCACGACGAATTTCATTGAGTATGAAATGGTGGAAAATCGGTTGGGCTTCAACGATGAAGAGTATGCGCCTCCATTAGCAAGTGAAATGGAGAAAGTAGGGGAACTCATGGAAGATTACCTTGCTAAAATAGCCTCTGACAATAATCTATCTGTTTCGCAGTTTATTAGTATTGCTGAAGTGATTCCAGAGCAATGTGAAGATAGGATGTACAAGGCCATTGACACTTATTTGAAGGTATGCACGTTGAATCATTCGCCCGGTGGAGCAATTTTTCTGTGCACTAGTACACCTACAAGGGCATGATCGTATATTTAGGTCATACTATATGTTTAATTTAATATGTATTATAAGCATTCATTAACTCCATAAACAAATCTTTGATGCCAACTGCGAAATAGTAATGGCTTAATCAACTGCTTTAGTACCTTGATTGAAATATCAACTTCTTTAATGACATAATTTGATAGGTTGCACCTGAACAGTGGAAATGTTGTGGCTTGGGATGTTAAGTGGTATTTGAACCATTATGATCTCTTGCATAAATCCATTAAAGGCTTAATTTAGTTAAGTGAAAATATGTTTCAATATACAAGTGAAACTAAGGGTTGAATTTTACTTTTCTGTTAGAGAAGCCATCTTATCTTAGAATTGCCCTGCATCTTAGGTTATGATATCACGTGTTTCTGCCTATGCATTTACAGGATTTTAAACATGTTCTATGTTGATGTTCTCTCAAGTGTGTCATCTTTAGATCAAATGTACAGTTTAACAAACAGTTACATTTGATAATAAGCAGGTTTATAGCTAAGCAGCTCATCATACTGTGGCAAGAAAGACTTTTGAATCTTCAGACCATGCTTAGTTGATCTTCAACATAAATAAAGGATTTTAAGTCATAAACACTCATAGCCTAAAAATCTTTCATACTCTCATATCAGCCTAAACTATTTTTTAGGTTACTATATCAGGCTTGCTACGAATAGCTACCTACTTCTGTATGTCATTTTGACTTGAAAATGCAAAAGAATTACGTACTATCAATGTACAGAACTTACTCTTATCAGGTTACTCTTAATAGCTGGAGCAACCTTTCCCCTGTAAATGATTAAATTCCATTTCAAGATTTTATTAGCTCTCTGTCTTTGGCTTGATTGCCAACCTTAGGCTTCTGGTTAGCTCCCTGGTCAGAACTGTATTTTTGTGTAAATGGAGCTAACCAACCTCTTTTGTAATGTTTTGCATCTTCTTGATGCCAGTTATATAGCATCTTACTTCATCAAAAAAAGAACATACTCTTAAATAAACAACTCTACCAGAGATAGTTGTCTAATCTTCTAGCTTTTGCAAAATTTGAAGGCACATCCAGCTCTAAGTGATAATGAGTGAAAAAGAGTTTGCAGTGTTATGAACTGTCAAAAGCTAACTCGAGAAGCTTGTGCTCATGCTGCTCAGAATGAGAGGCTCCCTGTTCAGACTGTTGTGCAAGTGCTTTACCATGAACAACAACGCCTTCGCCAAGTTATGGATGGTAGTCTAGCCGATGCAGATCAGTCATCCGCCGACAATAACCCTGTTACAGATGAATTCTCAAGTCTAAAAAGAGAAAATCAAGATCTAAAATTCGAGCTAGTGAAAATGAAAACGAGATTGAAAGAAATAGAAAAATGTGGTGACAAATCAGCTGCTAGCACCCCTTTGGAGATCACCACTCCAATATCTTCTGATAAACCTCGTTTGCGAAGAAAATCTTTCATAAGCTCAGTTTCCGAAAAGCTTGGGAAACTGTATCCAATATCATTTGGAGCTGATCATGTAGTCATGCCATCAGCCAGCAAAGGAAGATATAAACCAATTAGTAGATATAGGCGTTATTCTATATCATGATGCAGTAAAATTTGCCATTAAACTGTTGGTTTTGGCTGAAGTAGATTGCACTATTTGAACTTTTGGGAAAGCAGTAATGGATTTAGCTATATTTCTGTATTTTGTTCTCCTTTGTTTTTATGATTTTGCGAGTCATATTGTTATATGTGTTTAACTTCTGCGTTTAAGCATAGGCAAGAATCTTGGGCGTGGAGTGGTACTTATTATTAACCAGCACCTTAACAATAACCTTGTTTAGTTCAACACTTCAACTTAACATTATGGAAACAACACGGCCTTATTTAATTACTGGCAAACGACAACAGAAAGCTGGGGTTTTCCTGAAGAACTTGCGGAATTCGATATGCAATCAGCAATTTGGCCAAATGAGTTGAGAAGCACACTGGACAGTACTATTACCGAAAGCAGTGAGAAACCGTTTGTGTTAATGATCCTTCTACACGAGATCCACTTTAAAGCCATAATTTACAACAGCGGCACAACCATTTTCCCCCTTTTCTTCTCCCTTTATTTTGGGAAGGGTAGAAGAAGAGAATCCAAGAAAATAATTGTACAGATACTAACAAATTAAGCTTTATTAACAAACAACAGTCAGTTACATGAAAGACTATAGATAGTAGTTAAAGAAGCCTACTTAACTCTTTATCTGTAATGGCTAGAATCTTACAAGTATTAACATCTTGCTACTTCACGAGGTAATAACAACTCTCAATTTAGAAATAATCAGCTCTAAGATGTAGTATATACAACCTAACCTTCATCCAAAATTTTGTGTAGCTTTAAACCACGTCGAAGCTTTACCAATGCTTGTATTAAATTGTATTAGCATCACTGTTTGATCACCTTTCAAAAGCTCATCTCATTCAGATGGACTTGACGTCACAGCCATACCCATACGAATGCGCTAATCGATCAATGATTCTTCACACGCATGCAAGGAAACTTTCTCAAGCTGTATTGGCCAGTATTCCCCTAGTATCCTGGGATTCAACTCCATTGCAGAGCAAAAATCCAGCATTGAAACAGAAAAGAAATCACTTGGTTTCTGAATGTATCTTCTCGGCCTTGTTTTATTTGAAACTGATACAGCTTGGTCATGGATGCACTTGTCTTGTGACCTTGAGCCTGCTAATTCCAAACAAGGCTTTAATAATCGCTTCATAAATGCATCAAGCCCATTATGCAACACATTTACAGAATCTGTTGATATTTGTAGGCCTTCTGCCTCCGACTTCTGTTCCAACCATTTCTTTAGGGAGTTGGAGTCAGGCAAATCACCAGTGCTATTACAAGTTTCTATGCTTTGCAAAAGAGCTGACCTGCGACATGCTACTTTCCTTGTTCCCCGATTACTCGGAGAGATGCCAAGGGGAGCAGTTAATTGACTTCTACTCCAAATGCTACCCAATGATATCAACTCAGTAGCAGTTTGATGCTCTTGGGCTTTTGGTGCAGTATCTTCACAAGAAGCAGCAGAATGTGTTTTCCCATGAGGCCCCCGATGACTCGGCCGGTCCTTGAATCTTCGATCACGAAGTGTAGGAGTTCTCCCCTTTTTCGGAGATTGAGGAAATGAGTCCCGGCACAGTGACTGGAGAGTGTCTCTTTGATATCCATTTGGGACTTTGACATGTAATGAAGCCTGCATTTTGCAATCTTTTGTCGGAGGTGTCTTAGCAGCACAAGCATTTTTTACAATTGCTCGGGTAAGTGCATTATGAAGACAGATATTCTCTCTCCCTAACAAGTCAATGCAGAACTTCTCAAACTCTGATTTGCTAAGCTTTAGATTCAAGTATCTGCTTAACACAGTAAAATACTTCTCTGCCCTCTGTTGACCAATCTTCCTTTCAATCCGAAGTTTCAACTCGTAAGTGTCAATTCGTGGGCAATGCCGATTCATGGGCATTCTCACTCTCGAGTGCACTTTGAACATTGACCAGGAACAGTTAAACAATCAGGAAAAGCACCACGAATTCCATAGGATAAAGAGAACCTCTGCTCAACCCATTAACAAAGCTGATCTCAGCAGCAAAATCCACTGTATATGCTCCCTACATCTGCAATCAAATTCTGCAAGAAGAAGAAAAATTAAACTCAATATGTGTTTCCTGTTGCACAATGATTTATACACTTCTCAATTCCACAACTTCAATTAAAACAAAAAAAGAGTTCATTAAGTGGTAAAGAAAAAAAAAAGTTCAGTAAGACCTAAGAAGGGGCTACTACAGTCTCAATTCAATGAAGAAGCAGGCATAAGCAAGACCGGTCTCTTTCTCTTTCTATACGCAATTTGGGAAGACTCTATGTGATTGGATTCAATCTACTAAGAATTCACAAGTATAACTGTCTTTGAATTTTGAATTTAAAGAAGACACCTCCAACTACTCAGTGGAACTCTATCGTTAGAAGTTCAAGTGTATGCATGTGTCATCACCTCATTGGCCGGAGGTCCAAGACGTCTATAGGATACAAACTTGCTTCTTTTTCTTTCTATTATTTGTAGTATTAGAAATCAACAGCACTGGATCGATGATTCATTGTCCACTACTTGAGGCAAGAAAGGCGGAATCTTTTTACTTCTTTGCGCAAAAGGAGACTGAGATAAACAAGTCAGTATGGCCATTTCCCCCCTCCAACTGCTTAGTCTCACCCTTGCCCTCAAACCAGTAAGCCTTCACACTATATTACTAGCATGTGTGCTAAACATTTCGACACATTTCAGTTGACTATACATAAGAAAGCTAACTTTAAGTTCTAGTAAGGACCAGATGAACTCGGCATTCACAAGACTGCTTTGACTCTCATCATGATACATTCTAGAAGTAAGCAGGTGGATGCAAAGGAACCCGTCCAAAATCCAGCTTACAACAACAGTAACCAAACAATTCAAGCATAGGCATATTCTGAAAATTGACACTGAATTCTTCAAGAAACAGTAGAAATAAGAAATAAAAAATTCAAAGAAACAAACTTTACTACACCCCAAGTAAAATTATAAACTTCAACATCAAACCCACAAGTGTAATCGCAATCAAAAGAAGATAAACATCATAAACCTCAATAAAAGTCCAAAGCAGCAAAAATAAACAAGAAAAAGAAAAAAGAGAAACTCACCTGAGCTAATGAAGTAATGAATTCAAGAAAAGCGTAGTTGAATTTTGGCAGAGTATGAGAGTAGGATCAGCAAGTGATGGAGCTTCGGGCTTCGGGTCAAAGGGTGACAAGATTAGGGCATTCTAAGTGCTGAATTTTCGAAGCTTCTAATGGGAGTCAAAGGGAAGTCAAAGGCACGTGCGGCTTTTACAGGCGTGTTGTAGTGAGTAGTGACTGAAGTCTGAGATTGTTGTTATTTGGGTTTTAAGGATTAGTCATTTAGTGGGTAGTGTTTGGGTTCCAATGATAGTTGGAACTCGGCATATTATTCACAAGAAGAAGTTGAGTTTGATAAAGTACAAGTCAGCTGGTCGGTTCTTAAAACCAAACACTACTAAAGAGTAGTAGGATTTAGTACTTTTATCCAATGTACCAAAAAAGAAAGGCAAAATACATTAGTACCGACCTATGACTCAAATCCCCCTTATATATTTTTTGTGTACGATAATAATATTACACACGTAATTTTTCTAAAGTATATCTAATACACACTATTTTTGACTCGCGTGTTTACACATAAAAGAAGCACGTGAAATTTAATTTTTTGCTATAGATTATTTATTAAAGTGCCACATGTTCAAATTTTATTTAATTTTTATTAATTGGGTCACAACCCCTTCTTCTCCATCTTCATCCGAACTCACTCCCCCAATTTGTGGTGTAGATAAAGGACATGACATTGAAAACATCAGGAGCATATAAGCAAGGTACTCCATGTTCAACTCTGCCGCCGACGACTCTATGGAAGAACGGAAGCCAAAACGACATGTTAGACTCGACGTCGTCGGATAAATTCCTGTGGTCGCACAAGAGAACAGGTAGTTCGAGTTCCAACTCGACAGCAGGGAGGAAAGAACTGGATGCGAGGGAAATGGATATCGAGCGGGAAAATTACGCCGGCGTCAGCGTTGCGAGTGACCGGCGAGTTGAAGCGATGGTGTTCTTTGAAGAAAGCGAGCCTAAAGAGTGGGTGGGTCAGGTTGAGCCAGTCGTGTTGACTTCATTGGAGAAACCTAACTAGTCACACAATTCCGTCAACTTTTGATTGAATTTCCTCCTCGATTTGGTTTTGCATTTGTAATTTTAATTCGAATGGGAGCAAAGATTTTAAAAAGTTGTCTTATAGCTTAATGACCATATTTGATGGTAAAGAATATTTTGAAAATTTTGGTAGAATATTCTTGGTTGTCTCCCGTTTTAAAACCTGCTCTATAATGGTGTTGCAAGTATGAGTTGGAGAGGATGATGGCATATTTGTAATTTTATATTTTATATTTTTATTTTTAAGTTTATAAACTAAAGTCAAACGCGTGAAATACACAGATGAACTTTTTATGGGACCTGATCAAAAAAGGTGTGTACTAGATACACTTTAGAAAGATTGCGTGTGTAATATTATTATCGTCCACAGAAAGTGCGTAAGGGGGATTTGGGTCATAGGTCAGTGACAACTTATGTATTTTTCCAAAAAGAAAGGCTAATCTGTATAGTACTGTAGTGCTACTCATAGACATCTATGTATCAAGAATATGCCAATCTCTAACTATAATTTCATATTTACACCAAGCTAATTAGCAAAGATAATCGCATGATTATTGATGTAGACAATAAATTGCGTCGAGAAAGTAAAATCAAGATCGAAAATATCGCAATAATCGTAGTATTTTATTTTAAATATTTAAGTGTTACAATCTCTATGAATCTTCTGATTCTTCTTTTCAATAGTAAATAAAAGAGCCTCCGAGCTTAATCTTGAATTTTATTTTATTTTAATCCAAGTGCTTGAAGCTTGATCTTGATCTTGACGTATTTTTAATCCAATGACTTGCAGCTTGTTCTTGAATCTTCGTCTTTATCTTTTAATCCTTAGAACACTTGAATGCTTGTAGCCTTTAGAGAAATCTGCATCGTTTGATCCACGAGCTCCCTCTTGCTTCTTGTTA